AGCTCTTAGACAAGTTTTTCTTAAATAGAAGTCATTAACAGGCTTCTCAACATCCTGAGCTGTTGCACCCATACATCCCCATTGACAGACAGGTTTCTCCCCCCTATATTGCTGTACAGGGTGGGCATAATATAAATTACATAACCAAATATGAAACAATTATCCCTACATCAAAAACTTGGCAGGACTAATCACCCATTCATCTTACTGGTTTAGCATTGTGAAGCTAAGCATGTTACCTATCTATGATTCCTTCAGTAGCTCATAGAAGAAAGGTCTCACACTAATTAAAGAGCAGTTTTGTTCTGACGAATGACTGTGAAAAAGTGGTATCTGTTACATGCAAACCTTGAAGGCTAATGAAAACAGTGTGATTGCGCAATTGTATAATTGGGTTTCAGAATCTCCTGATAAACGAGCAGGAAAAACCCCAGCTTGGCTGTCACATTCCAGTTTGAATTTGCAGAGCTGTCAGGAGTCTCCTTTTACTGTACTTGTAAACAGTGCTCATGAATTATAGTCAGAGAGATCCAGTAAGCAATGGAAGCCCACAGTACCATTTATAGAGGGACTTTTCAGAGAAGTAGTAAGTTCTTGGCATCTTTTCAGGGATATGGAATAAGTTATGTTTACTAACATAAGATGGACTAGTCAATAATAATATAAAGGAAAATTTCATGTATACATACTATGAAACTAAATAAATGAAATGTGCACAATAAGGTAGGACTGTACAGTACAATGTAATATAGTCTGAGGCCTGACTCCGATTTCCCTTTAAATCCTGAAGTGAGGCCTTAGTAGCATGTAGCAGCCCTTCCAAAGCATCTCTATATTGATGCTGCTTTCCTTTGCCTCTTTCTCCTGCTGCCATAGGCCCTCAGTACTGTATTTCCTTTAATCTGCACAGATTTCTACTTTTTGTATGGAGAGCCTCTATATTCCTCTGTTTATTTTATTTGCAAGATTAATCCTTTCTATGTTGGGCTATCTCTCACTCTCAGCTTTCTTTCTATCCTTTAACTGTTGCTGCCACAATGCACAAGTCAGTATCCTGGAACAGGGCCAGGTTCACCTTTACTCAAGAGCTGGCATTCACCCTTTTCCTAGAGCCTGTCCTAACATCTGGAGAAGAATACTCTGTCTCACATAATTTTAGTATGCAGGCCCCTTCTTCTCTCCATAATTTCAGCCATGTTAAGGCTTCATTGATTTAAAAATGGAGGATAACATTTTTGAGGTGCCTTTGTCTCCAGGTGCATCAAGTACCATAGAGGTTTGATAGATTTTTCTGGAGAGACAGTTGATCATGGCAAGGTCTCTTTATGCTGGGCTCCAATATCCTGTGCTCTGGAATGAGATGGCATTTCTCCTGAAGACTTGTCCTGTTGTTTAAAATATTGTACAAGAATACATTCCATAGGCTTGTTTTACTTTCTTTTGTGACCCAGGACAAGAAGAGCTTTTTTTCCATTCCAGTGTAGATTTTAGCTGTTGCAAAACATGCCTAGTTTGTGCCTGCTCACTTGAGAAGATTAAATAATTTTAATAAATGGATTGTTTATGTAGAAATTCCATGACTGCCATTTACTCAGTATAGTGCTTGCTTGCTCACTGGATTTTGCAGGCAGCACCTTTCTGGCTTATGCTGGTATTATTTGTCATTAACGTTAAGATTAGTTCTTGAAAGGAAAAGCTACACTATGCAGTCCCTGCTCCATTTGTAAAAAGCTTTCAGCACATTTAGGCCAAAGAGCTATAGCTGCAATTCTGTGGAGGTAGAAAATGGGTGTGTGTGAACTGGTGTGTTTTGCTCATTGTGAGAATAAAATCTTTGCTCTTGATGGTCCAAATTCTATTCCAAAACCTGAAAACCTGCTTCACCTACAGCTTTGCTTTTTTTTTCTTACTTTGCCCAAAGTAGGAGAGAGGAGCATGCCCTTCCTTGCTCCAGTTCTATTCCACCGAGTGTTGTGGCTCAGGTTGGATTCCAAGTGCTTGAAGTGAAAAGGGCTTTTCTACTTTCAAATCTCAATTAAGAAGCCAAAAGCTACAGTGTGTGAAATACAGTAGGTTTTCCTGGCAGCTTCCTGCTTTAGTTCAGCTGTGTAAAGCCATGCCTCATTTCAGCTCCCCAACCTGCTGCTCAGGGAATGATGGGATTCCTTTTAACCACCCTGCTTAATTTAACATCTGAGTTTTAAAAAACAAAACAGAACTTGAAAATAAACCTATATACAGCACTCTGACAATGCAGTGGGAGGCTCATCCAGCTCCCTCTGTCCTGGCTTGGGAGAGGTGAAGACCATGGGTCATAACTTAGCCATACATTCTTATGTAGAATTCCCCATTAACTTGAGCAGGGAGTCTTGCACATAGACCACTGACATACATGGTCTCAAGTGAATCGCAGAACTAGGGCCCAGTCCATCAAACTGCTAAGTGCCCTCAACTACCACTGATTGCAATAGGTGAAGCGGGTGCTGAGCAAATGAGAGAGGCAGGGCCCTGAAGCTACTGGTCTTCTAAAAAAGAGTGGGATTTTGTGTAGAAGGGGAAGAGTCTGCTCTGTTTATAAAGTGTACACTGTTGATATGGGGTCTACCTTGTCTCCTGAGTGGGAGGAGAGATGCTGTGGCAATGACTGGATACCAGGGGGAGGCGGCACAGGAGTTAACTGTATCCTGTGCCTGGCCCTTACCTAGGTGTGCCAAAGAAAAGAGGGCACAGCTTCCCCCACATCTTGGGCTCCTTGTGCCAAGGACAGGCACACCAGCAGTCCCTGTAGTTGGGGGGAGGGGTGTCTCTCCAACGGAATGGGAGATGGTTAGTGCGCACACAAAAAGGGCCTTTCCCAACACCCCAGCTCAGCAGTCTCTAAAGAAACATAATGAACCTGTCAAACAGTTTTGAGCAATTGGGCGTTGTTTTTGTAAAGCAAGGACTTCCTTGAAAAAAAGCTTCTCACTTCTGAAGTCTGCAGATTCTGTGTTTAGTGTCCATGTGTAAATAGCCACATTTCATTTTATTTCACATTTCCAGCTGGGTGTGATAGTCTGTACTTCCTGTCCTAAATGGTTTAGTGTTGCTGTGTCCAGCTGCCACATTCTGCCCCAGAGCTAGCAGTGTTTGGGTGGTGAGTGGCCTATACCCTACTTAGGTATTTTGTTGAGCACTTTGTAAATTGCTTTAGACTCTTTTGGGATGAAAGGTGCTATGTAAATTATGTATTAGTTACTACTATATTACTCTCAGGCACAGAAAGCATCAGAGTTCAATAAATACTAGCATTAGGGCTTGTGGTTACCATGTTGCTGAAACGGTGCTGCAGGAGCTTTCTCGATACTTTTTGCCGTGCAGGCTAAAGTGGAAGAATGAAAAAAGGTAATTAGAGCCATATGATTTTGAGGCACAGTTCGCTGGAGTGGGTTTGAGGTCTAAAGCAATGTGCCTGCAGATGTTTCCTTTCATCTGTCAGTTCAAGCAGGAGAAAGAATGAAGAGTTGTTCTTTAAAAAGTCAGAACCACAAACCTGACCCTCTGAGAAGTGGAGGAGCATGGAAGGAGGAGTAACACCGCTTTATTGATGCTCACAGAATCCAACATTTATTTCCCCAAAGGCAGTAATGATCCAGATTGTAGACATGACATTAGCACTGCTTGGATCCTTTTGTTAGCATTCTCACATCTCATGTGCTAAAGCAGGAATAGGGCAGTTCACTGCTTGAATGGGAGATCTCCAGGGAACACTTATATGCTATGAGAAGTCATGTTTGTAAGAGATTCTGTTAATGTCACTCTTCCTTGACTGCCCCTCAGTGATATGGGAAGCAGGAGATGCCCTCAGCTGGGTGAGAAGTAAAGCTGAGGTTCAGATAGTTTGTGGTCATTAAAGATCCTGCAGCAATTTTTTTCATTAGATTTTGACCAGGACAGTTGAACATTCTGCCTCCCGAATTCTTCCGGCTGTTTCATTGTACATATTATGCTTTACTTCTTTCCTGTACGATTTCGTAGTGGTGGTGTGTGTTGTTAAAGCCCTTAACACAGCTGCTGTGTTTCACTCAAAGGGAGGCTGCAGCAATCCTGGCTTATCCCTTACCTACATCATAGGGTATTGTCATGATTAATAAATTATTTATGAAGAGCTTAAAGATTTGTGAAATTAAAGACTGTAGGAGGGCAAAGTATCACATCAGAAATGCTGAGGTTGGCATGTTTACCTAATGACATCACTGTTCCACTTGAGTCTGTATCACTGCCTTGCAATTTTGTGCGTGGAACAAAAATACAAAGTTTCTGTCCAGACAGTAAAAAGGATTTGAAGGAAACACCTGTAACTATGGTTAATATGCCAGTTGCTTGATGAAAGGTGTATTGCATCAGACAAGCACATCATTATGCAAAATCCACAATTATTACTATTTTGTTAAATAGCATCCTCGTTCCAGTCTCTTAAAATGCATGTACTTAAAAAAAGCACTCACACATAGTCCTCTGCAGAGCTGATTTCAGTGCAAACCTATTCTGTGCTTAGCAGTTAGAATGAGCTGTTTGCCACCCGTCTGAACTGGTGACCATCCCCCCTGGGCTAGCTTGGAAAAGTTCTTGAACATGCCGGCTTTCACCCCATGAGCTGAGGATGAAAAGAGAGTCTGAAAGCTGCCAGTATTTCTCTCTGGAGCTACAAGGTTTTTGTTTCCAGGGGTTGGTGGGGGGTGCCTTGGGGGTTGATCCGGAACATGACCAGTTCGGGAAGGAAAGAACAAACCAGACTCTGAACTCAGAGATACAAGTAAAACTTTTTTTTTTAAAGCTTTCTCTATTCTCTGGAAATAAGCTGTCTAGGCTCATGAGTTTCTAAACTAATGCAATAATTTTAGAAGGGGGGGGGGTGTATGCACAGATAGATTTCTCAACTCTTCTTTTATTAATTTTTAGATCAACAACTGGGCTTTTCTTCATTTCACCTGAATGAACTGCTGTCTCTCATCCCACAGGATCTGACAGGTGGAGCATTTGAAGAAAACTTGAACACACTAGATTTGAAAGAGGGACTGGATTATCATCATTTCAACTGAACACTGAGGTACAGCACTGAAATTGGTGCTTTATATATCATGAGCGATGTGTATGTTAAAAACAAAACTGTGTCCAGAGAGGGTTAGGTTTTATAGTTAGTAATTTGAACTTCACCCAGTGTATCTCTTCTGATCATGTATTCTTTTCTAAAGGCAGGATAAAACTATACTTTTGATATCTATATTTACCAGTTGTTAATATGGCACATTACTGGCTTAGTAGTCAGTTTATAATTGTGATTCTTCCTGCTTATTATCACAAAAACAATAGTGAAATGTGCTATATTTGTTGCTAATTTTAAGTATACAAAATTTGTTACTGCTGCTTATACTCTTGGTGTAAGTAGCCCATCCAGTACTATCCATTAGATTACAGAGCAAGCTGCTACCATAAGGAAACATTACAGCCATATCAAACAAAATGTACACATCAGTTTAAATGTTCACAACAATGAAAGTGTTTAGAGACCTTGGTGACTCAGGTTCTGTCCAGAGTGGTCAGGGGCCCCACGCCATTCCCTGGAGTTGGTTAATCTCCTGCTACTGACAACAGCAGCTGTTGTTTCCTGAGGTAAAATCTTTGCATTACTGCTTTGTATCTATGTGAACTGCTAGTGCTGAGGGATTAAAGAGGCCCTAAATTATGGCATCCCTGTGATTCAGGCGTGTTAGGAGTATAGTGTATATGGGAACTGATATGGAAGCCAGAGGATAACGTATATAGATGCTCAGAGCTTTCACTCAGCCTCCTATTGTGTATGCTTAAAAATAGGTAGATTTTTGCTAACACAGAAGTAATGTTTTTCTTGCACTGAGTACCTCAAGTTATAACTTTGCTCAAGAACGAACTAAACCTCAGATCAGCTTCTGCTTTAGACTATCCCTCAAGTGAAAGATGCCACTTAGTGGTTTATTAGATGTGAATTAACATAATGAAGAGAAAAGGAGGACTTGTGGCACCTTAGAGACTAACCAATTTATTTGAGCATGAGCTTTCGTGAGCTACAGCTCAAGCTGTAGCTCACGAAAGCTCATGCTCAAATAAATTGGTTAGTCTCTAAGGTGCCACAAGTCCTCCTTTTCTTTTTGCGAATACAGACTAACACGGCTGTTACTCTGAAACCTGTCATAATGAAGAGGTAATTTACCTTACCTAGTAATTCTAGGGGCCCAGCTTGACACAGTAGACAGGTCTGGTTCTAATTGTGTAGCACTTAAAAAACCTTAAAGGGGTCTAAGCTTTATAAAGTAGGCCACCTAAAATCACTAATTCTTTTGGAAAATCTCTACTCTGGTTAAGTAACAGATATTTTGGTTGCTAGTTACGCTACTTATTTAACCACAGAATAAAGAGTTGTCTTAGTTACTGTTGTTCCTTTATCTTTTGTGTTCATCTTTCTTGTTTGTTGGGTGATTTTGACAGCCTGAGAATGGCATAGCATTGAGGGGCCGTACAGTAGATGCTATCTTTTGACTTTTTTTCTCTGTCTGCATGATACTAGGCTGGACAAGAAGTGTTGCCTATTTGAATGGTAGTTGGTCTGAGCTGGTGAAATGGCTCACAGCATCCAGAGCCATTCCCTATCAAGCTGTATGTTATACCATCAATATACTCAAATTTATTACAAAAATATACTAAGTTTAAATTCTAAAGAATTCCAGCAAGTGCTGTCACTCTGTTTAGTAAAAGGGTACTGCTGCCTTTGCTTCCTTGACCAGCTGTGCAGAATTAAATTATAAAATCTGTGTGGAGAAGAGTGCCTCCCCACCTCAAAAACCCCTGGTTAATAATGGCTCCTTTCAGAAAAGAGGCCTGCGTCTCCATTTCCCTGCTACTTGCATGCATATCCTGTTTTGAATTGAATCACGTGCATCACTTCACTCTTGTTCCCAGGACCCCATTCCATGTATAGATTATCAATACTGAAACCACCATTTCATTGCCCTCCCCAGTTGCTGATCATGTTCTGTGCTTCTGGTAAATATTTCTGATTTTCCATTTACATGTAAAAGAGCCTGAAATTGCAGCTTTTGCCAACCAGCTAGAAGCGGAGGAAAAGGCTGTTATAAACTCACAGTGTTTATCCTTTGCTGCTCAGAATGTAGTATTTCTATGAAAAAACTGGCTGCAGCTTTCTTTCTAGAATAGCGCATAAACCGGTGGTGGTGGCCTCTCAGCTTTCTTTCTAGAATAGCGCATAAACCGGTGGTGGTGGCCTCTCAGACCAGGGGATTGGTAATTTAAACCCCTCGGGCCTAGATTTTAAAGAGATGGTGATCCCGTCACTAGAATTTTGCATTGTCAGTTTCTCATAGAGAGATGAAATGGCTCAATTTTTATACTCATCCCACTGATATATAGGTGACTGCGCAAAAGATCTCCATACCTACATATTATTTAAAAGCATATTGGCTACTGAGCTCTTTTGAAAATCTGGCTCTAAGTGGCCATTTTAAAGCCAGCCTGCTTTAGTAGTGGCTTTGTTTTGATCTCACTCCAGTTAGCAGCATCCCTAACTATTATGCTGCAGCAGATTGGTGTCTATTCATTGAATTTCCATTGGGACCAGACTTGGTAATCTCAGCAAAGCTAACAATTGTGAGACCTATGGAGACCAAGTTTGTCACTCATATAGGTGGGTCCTGTTCAGGATTGGGTACTTTGTCCTATCATTTTCCATGTCATACCTGTTTTGTGGTTTAATACAGGGTGTTGTGCTGCATGGCTGTGAAGCTAACCCCATTTCAGGAGTATTACCTTTAAGATACAATGCTGAGGTTCATAGCACAGAGGGTATTTCTCATTTGAGTTTCATATGACTGTTTTTTGTATGTTGATTGAATATTTTTATACCACAATCTTTATAAAACTAAAGCTTCTGACAGTGTGGGGATTCCACTGGAGCTTTATTCATTTTGACCTTGAGCCACAGCTCACACTCCTACTTTGGAACGTACCCTATAGCAAATCTTCAAAAAAAAAAAGTCCCATTCTAAGAATGGGAGTGCCAGGATGAGCATTGGTAATGAAACAGTAGTAGTATAGGTGGTTTGAGTCTACTTGGAAAGAAAAGGAACCATGTCAGGTTTATACAGCCACCTGCCAAACTGGGCCACAAAGTTATTCTTACAGTCAATCATCATCTTCAGCTGGTACAATTCAAACAGTGATTATACAACATAACAGCAGTTTCCAAACTTTTTGAGTTGCCCCCCTGGAATTAAAATTTTGTGTTACGGCCCCCCGATCCCCCAATCCAGACAAAAAGAGGTGAGTCAGGAGATGGAGGTTCCATTCCCTCCTTGAGCCCTGCTATGCTTCGCTGAAGCCCAAGCTACGTATCATGGCCGCTCGCCCTCTGGAACGGTCCTCTGGGGATTCACCCCACTGTTCTACAAGCTACACAGCCACCTTCTATAAGGAGTGGCATTTGAGGTGTGAGCCATTCCTACACCTGTGAAGATAGGTCCTCAAGGGTAGTGGGCCATTTCTTTGCAGCGTGTATGTACTTGAGATCTAGCCCGAAGTCATTTTGGTATGAAGCTATTTTCTGGGCTTGTTCACTTGTGCAAAATTGAAAATCTTGCCACCTTAGCTTTTGGATATTTCTCCTTCCCTTCTGCTTCAGGAAGAAAACTATTTAATACACTTGTTGAAAATCATTCATATAATGAACTTCCCTTGTGACTCTAGAGAAAGAATTGAATGGGTTTATATAGCATACTAAAAGAGCCTGTGCTATCCTGTTGTATGTCAGATAAGCTTAAAAATCAGTTTCCACACCCCCCTCTGTTGGAGCAAAGCATCCTACAAATGCTTATCCTGTCACTCACTCTTACTTAACTATACAGTAGGGGTAGGTTTCCTCAATGTCAAATGCAGTTAAGTTATGGGTTTTTATAGTTGGCCTTTCTGGAGGAAAAAAAATCAGCTGTCGTATCATTTCTTATTAGGTGCCTCTTTATGGAGAATGACTGGTTGCAATTTTGGTTTTGAAAATGCGGAATGAATCGATTCACTCTGTACAGAGACTAATGTAGTTCATCACTTTCAGTGTCCTGTGCCTGCACTCAGAAGAACAATGGGGCTGTCTATTTTCAAGCGCTGTCACACCCGTTTCAAATTGCTAGTGGTATCATCATTTAACACTGGTCCTTTCTCATCCACTTTGTTACCAACACTAGAATCATGGCATGGTGAGACCTCAGTTCTTATTTGCACCAGTTGGTTTGCACCAATACTGAGAATTTATTTTAGTATGTTGTAATGCTTGTTTTGTGGAATTAATTTTTGAACATTAAGTTAAAAACAAGCAGGTGTTAGTTTTTCATAAGAGCTGGCCAGGTTCTTGGATGTGTGAGCACTTATGTGGATGTTAAGTTAATTGGAGAACTGCAGCTTGTCGCAACAAACAAGAGTTTTTTAAAATTGAACAAATGTTCAAAAAGAACCATTTCTGATATTCACAAAGTGAACAATAAATGTGGTTATTCTACCTGATAACCATGGCATCTCTGAATTTGGCTCTTCATGCTCATAAATTGGCATAATCTACTATAAATTGTTGTAATACATACATGAAGGGGGTGGAGTTTACATGAAACAACCAATAAAAAGGTTTACCTGTACTATCCTGTCAACTCTCAATGTAGCCTGCAATCACTGATCTATTTTAGAGGCCCAGGGGGCTGCTGAGGGCAAATGTGACTAGCTGATAACAGCTGATTGATTTTTAAAAATTGCTAACAGTAAGGGCATTGGCTGAAGCACTGACCTATCACCTCTGTACTCCTCAGTTGGAAAAGTGAGGTTCTGCTTGATGTCTCTGGAACTCTAGCTTATAACACAAAGTCACCACTCATTTACACTATTCAACAGTCTCTGTTTATTTTAGGCTTTGACCTTACCCAGAACGAAGATTGTCTGCTTTTGCTTGCAGACAGTAAGTCAGGGCTGAAGGCAATAAAAGAACAGTTTATTGAGAGAGGTATTACCTGAAGGTAACGATGAAAGATTTAATTACCATTAAGTATTGCCACTCTGAATTGTTACATTATCTTAAATATTTGTTTTGACCACAAGCATTAGCCACAACTGTAAATGGTTAATACACCAGGACAAGCTCAATGATTTTAGAGGAGACACACTAATTCAGGTTTTATAAGGGGAATGCAAGACACTGGCATTCAAAAGCACCTCAATTATGACAACGATCATGAGGACAAACTGCCATCTTGTGGCTACAGATAACAAATTTAAGAACTGAAAACATAATGGACCTTTGTTGCTTTTATATTGTGGTCAGAGATACTGACAGATAAACAGGCTGCTTTTTCACTCTTTATGTTAATTTTGTTAATCATATTTTGTAGCTCAGTCTGAGACTCCACTTTATCAAGATGCCACAGCACAGATCACTTCCTCCTTCATGACGCAAGTGCCAGAGAGCTTCAGTTTTCAAAGCAACAGAGAACACTGACTGCTTTACTATGCTGCACTCTACATACAGGAAACAAAAAAAGAAGAACTTATGAAATTCCTTTTAGGTAGGGTACTCAGTTACTTTTAATCCAACTAATAACTGAATGCATGTTATCAATTAAAGGAAAATAGGACTTTGTTTTAAAAGTAAATTGCATTTTAACAGATGGTAAATATCACAACTGCTAGATTTAAAAGAAAAAACAGATGAATAATATTTTAAATGTTGATTCAACTGACACATGTTTTTCAAAAAGATAAATAAAGTTCAAGTGGCTTGTATTCAAATGTTATGCCTGGTTTTATCTAATCATGTTTGTATTTTTCCTCTACTTTTATGAGGCGAGCTCTCAGAGAAAGGTAGAGTGTGCTGTGTATTTTCTCTCATACACCCCGCATCCCTATGGAAAAATGTTTGTGTCACTGGATTTAACTGCTGAGAAACTCCTCCACTAGTAATACACAGTAGGATTGCAAGTGGGATTGTCATTCTTTAATACTAGCTAGAACAAATAGAAGTTTTCAAGTAAACTGCAAGGCTATTTATTTCTGCAAGTGTTTAATTAGCATTGCTAGAAAACATAAGGAGGAGGAGGAGGAAGTAGTAAAGCACCAAATTCTGCCCTGTAACTTTACTGACTTTGATGGGATACTAAAGGAAAGATTCGCATTACAGTATTTCCAATAATTTTTCCCCAGACATATGTACACATTAGGTGCCTCGTATTATCAAAGTGGAGGGTTCACTTTTCTTTCCAATCTTTCATATGAGTCTCCAAGTGTTTAAAACTCACCTGGCTCTCAAGACAATTTTCTTACCAATTATCTTATACCCTCTACATTTTGAAATGCTTAATCATAACATTTATGAAGCAAAGAGCAGTCAACACTGATAGTAAAACAAGATTCTTAAGCTCCCAATTCATTAAAACACCAGCACTCACAAGTTTAGCTTTCACTTTAAACAAGAGTGATTTACCAGATGAGAACGTTAAGAATTTTTCTTTATCTGTTCTGGTTGCTGTACAAATTAACTAAATGTATATCAGGGGAGTAAGAATCACTTCAGCAGCTGGTTTTCTTGGCCCTTTTACTATCAATGTTTTCAGAACAAAACAAATAACTGGTTTTGTGACTTAACGTGTTACATGATAATTTCCTTTCGGAACCTGGCTTCTTACAGCTCAACACACTTGGGTTGTATCTCTACTTACAAACACCAGAGGCAGTTAAATCTTATCTGATGTTCCAGGGGTTGGCCACAACTCTTTTACCAGTATGAATACCTCCAAAACTGTGGGGGAAATGCTGCATTTTAAGTAAAAGATTAAGTATAAATTAACAGCAAATCCTTACTTCCCACAGTTTGCCCCATTTTAGCACATTTCTGTATCACAATCTTTCCCCCAGTCTGGGACATAGGGATGGAATGACAAATGGGACAAAAGAATGTTACCCTTTCCCAAGTAGTATTAATCTATTTTAAATCCATAGCTGAGAGCATCCTCCTGCTGACATTTTTCTTCTGAAGAAGAGTCAAGTATGTGAGGTGATGATGGATGACCAGGTAGCCATTTTACAGATTTTTGTTCTGGCTGCTGATCATGGAAGCGTTGAGTAGGCGCCAGCTTCTTCTGCTGATGAATGTGCTTCAGCAACGCTATTGAATCTACCTAAGAATGGATGATTTTAGATACTTTCAAGCACATGCATGGAACTTATAGGGAGAAGAATAAAAATGATGTTTTACTAAGCTAATTGATTCTACTAAGGAATACTTGAACTGCTCTTCTCACATCTGCCACAGGCCGTGCTTTTTCTTTTGGTGTTAGACTTTGGGAAAAACAAAAGAAGAATTACCCTAGAGCCATCTGTACTCGAGATTAAGACCAGCCATGTGTCCTCACAGAAGATGCATTATGGGTAGTATCTGAGAATGAAGATTTTGAAAACAAGTAGTTTAAGTATGCAAGACAAATCAGATTCCTGAAAGGGGTATGGTAGTCTGGAAAGACTGAGAGCCTGCTCACTGCTCTGACCTTGCAATACTGAAGTGACAGAATTTTGTCTCCAGTCTCACACAGGCAAAAGAGGTGGAGAACCTGCAAGTCTTAAAAACCTAGCTGTCTGCAATGAGATGCAGCAGACAGCTCTGGTGTAGGAAATCCTGCCAGTTGGGAAAATGAAGTGGAGACCTCTCTGGAAGCTGAACTAGGTCTGGGTATCCCAGCATTCTTGGTGGCCCCTGATCTTCTCAATAGTTGAAGGTGGGAGAGGAGAGATTTGACTATCTATGAGCTAGAGTCTAGTCCCAACAATTTTGGTCCGCTTCCCTGATCACAGAATCATACAATATCAGGGTTGGAAGGGACCTCAGGAAGTCATCTAGTCCAACCCCCTGCTCAAGGCAGGACCAATCCCCAATTTTTGTCCCAGATCCTAAATGGCCCCCTCAAGGATTGAACTCACAATCCTGGGTTTAGCAGGCCAATGCTCAAACCACTGAGCTATCCCTCCCTTCTGATGAGCCGCCTCACCTTTATATTTTGGCTGGATTACTTTTGTTCAGAACCATTACCTATACTTCTCCAAGTATACGTCCCAATGGGTATTCCACCCTATTTGAGAATCTCACTGGAATATGCAGGTAAATTTCTGCTAGACCTTCCAGAAAGACTACAATAGTCCTGAAATTTGTTTTCTTCATCAGGCTGTTCATACTCTTGCTGATACCTTTCTTCAATGATGATGGAAGAGAGCCCTGGAGGTGCCTTAAGGGACAAACTCTAGTGCTTTTGGTGTGGTTTGTTTCTCATCTCTTGAAGCTGCAGAGCCTGGAGCTCCAGATAATATTCATCTTACACTATCACCTCTGTGAACCAGATTGAAATCTGATGCCTGCAACACAGGATATCCTAACCTGGGTCCTATTTTTGAAGGGAAGCAGGCCCTATCTCAGTCACTGTGTTCAAACGGGAAGAAAGGTTTGGATTTTATGGGACTCTGAGCCCAGGTGTTTCTCCTGGAACAGGAAGAATCTCTACTCTGGTACTTTTGCTGTGAGTAGGGCTGAAATGAGATTCTGCCCCCTGTCTGTGTCTGATCCCACAGGAGTAGAAAGTTAATACTTTGTTCATATAATCGGTTACCATCTTATCAAGCTTCTCCATGAATGGGATTCCAACTAAGACTTTTGAGATACAGATAAATTTTACACTTGTCAGGGCTTAAGTCAGAGTTAGGGCCAGGACAACTGAGAGTCCATGCATCATCTTTTTATGAATGCAGCAGCTACTGGTATTTCTTTAGGTATCAGTCTGAGTTCTTTGTTCTGAAGGTAGAGGTTTTTAGTTCATCACAGCAGGACACTGTAGCATTCGCAAGCATGTGCTTGCTAGTGACAGTAGGGCTGCTGAAGAGGCTGTGAAATCTGTTCTAAGAATGGCATCTCTCTTTGTGCCTGCAGGGTCCTTTAGTAAGTAAACTCCCTCTGCAGGAATTACCTGTTGCATCAAGTTTAGACAGTGAAGAGTTTGGCTTTGGGTGACTCTGTAGAATTTCAGGACCTGCCACCTGAACCATTTTCCATGCCTTCCTAACAATTTGCATAAAGAAAGAATGAAGGGGGAGGACAAGTGTATTTAATATTTGTCCTTGGTATTAGTTAGCCTGCTTATCCTGGTGGCCAACATCTTCCTCCTCATTGTCTCGCATATCTGGAGGAAAAGAACCTCTCTCATGCTTCTCTGGCTTAGAGGCACGGTGATCAAAACAGAGTTCTCCTCCTGTGGAGAATGAGCTGTACTCAAAACTGCGCTGGCTTCATGCTGCATACTTCTGCAAATCTGGCCCACCATGTGTATATTAAACTGAGTAAGGAAATTCTTTCCTAAGGTTACATGTTGTCACTTCTCAGGAGTACTTTATTTATTATTAGGCTTTAGAATGTAACTTTCCTGAATCTTTCAATACCATTTCTATCCTAAATGCAGAATCAATGTATAGGAAGTCACATAAGTCATGGAATTTTAGTTTTGCTATTAAATTTGAAGGGGAAATTCTTACCATTCTTTTCCACAAAACACAGACACACACACTGTACACACAGGCATCTGTGCTACATTATTTCATGCTTGCATTGTCTCAGTAAGTTGAGCTT